GAACCCCAAGAGGCTGGCACGAGCTAGGTCCTGCTGGATGCTGAGGCAGGAGCTCCCTGGGAGGACAGGCCAGATGGCCACTCTGCTGGGCTGAGTCCCCTGCAGTGCTGAAGAAAGGCCAGGAAGAATTGTTGAGGCGTAGATGAGGCCAGTGGTTGTGGAGGGAGGGCTCGCTCAGTGTGACCCACAGTGCGGAGGAGCCACCCATCGCTGGGGCAGCTCCGTGTGGGGTGGAGGGCACAGCTGGCCTTGGGCGCACTGGGTCTGGACATTTGCACACTGGCCCTTAGATGGGGCATGAAGCCTGTGGGAGGATGAGCTCCGCGGCTGTCCTGACATTACCTTGAGGTGGGAGCCCAGGGAGGATGGAGATGGTGGGCGGCAGTTCCCCCAGAGCCGGCTCTTACTGTAAGTCAGGGAGGTTCTCGGTGTGGCCATGGGGAGCCCACGTCATCCCTCCTGGAGGGTCTGAGTGACAGTTTGACATGATTTTGACTCATTGTTTGAAAAACAACTCTAAATTCTTGTCGAATGTTCACTTAAAAAATATCATCTCACCACGGAGAGCTCAGCCAAGTGTGGGTTAGCCCTGTCACTCCTGCAGGGATCTTTAGCAGTGTGGTGGCTCCGGCTGAGAGCCGTTGCTCACCGTCCCTGCACCATCCTCGCACTGGCCCTGCATTGCCCATGTCCTGGTGTGGGTGACGGTTGCGGAGGCCCATGAGGGAAGCTGCTGCCCTTCCTGCTGCCTGCCTCGGGTCCTCTGCTTGTGATCTCCAGGTCCTAAGTCCAGAGATGTTTGCTGTCACTAGAGACCCCCTCCATCTGACCAGAGTTCCAGTTAAATGAGCCTCTGTGCTAGGAACCCTGGGAAGTTCAGACGGTGCATCTCGTGCAGGCCGTGCCTACCCCAGGTCCTCTGCTGTTTGGGGTTATTGGGCATCCCTGTCATCAGCTGCTTGTCCCCTCTGACCATGCCCTCTACTCATGCCCCCTCAGCTTGTGCCCTCTGCCCATGCCCCCTCAGCTCGTGCCCTCTGCCCGTGCCCCCTCAGCTCGTACCCTCTGCTCATGCCCTCTCAGCTCGTGCCCTCTGCCCGTGCCCCCACTGCCTGTGCCCCCTCAGCTCGTACCCTCTGCCCATGCCCCCTCAGCTCGTGCCCTCTGCCCGTGCCCCCTCAGCTCATACCCTCTGCCCGTGCCCTCAGCTTGTGCCCTCTGCCTGTGCCCCCTCAGCTCGTGCCCTCTGCCCGTGCCCCCTCAGCTCGTGCCCTCTGCCCATGCCCCCTCAGCTCTTACCCTGTGCCCGTGCCCTCTCAGCTCGTGCCCTCTGCCCGTGCCCCCTCTGCCTGTGCCCCCTCAGCTCGTGCCCTCTGCCCGTGCCCCCTCAGCTCGTACCCTGTGCCCGTGCCCTCTCAGCTCGTGCCCTCTGCCCGTGCCCCCTCTGCCTGTGCCCCCTCAGCTCGTGCCCTCTGCCCGTGCCCTCTCAGCTCGTGCCCTCTGCCCATGCTGGTTTAGCTTGGACCACGCTGGGTGTGGGCACGCGCTCTCTGCCTGGGTGACTGGGCCCTGCTCGGTTCTCCACCCTTCCCTGTCACTCCTCTGCCCTACACTCCCTGCTCCAGCCACTCTGGTTCTCTTACCTTCCTGGAGCATGTGGTCCCTCCTGGCCCAGGCTGGCGCTGCTCTCTGCTCTGGAATGTTCCTGGTGCTGCTCTCTGCTCTGGAATGTTCCTGGTGCTGCTCTCTGCTCTGGAATGTTCTCCGAGTTCTTCCCCTGGGTGACTCCTTCTGTATTTCCTGCCTCGGGTCACCTGTTCTTGTCTGAAGTCAGCACTAGCCCTGCCTGTCTCCCTTCACTTGCAGGCCACTGTCTCTGGCGCTTGGGAGTCAGGAGGGGTGGGCTGAGGTCTTGCACTCCAGCAGCTGCTGGGTGGCTTCCGCAGGTGCTCAGGTGCTCCTCCAGTGCTCCGGCAGCTTTCACTTCATTTGTACCCCTTCACCTGGGGCTCACTGGCTGGCTGGGGCTGGGAGCCCACATCAAGCAGCCCCTATCTAGGATCGAGGCTGATTCCCGAGGCCCCGGCTCATGCTGGGTGGTGTCTGAGGGTGTCACCCTGGCAAAAACCCCATGTCTACTAAAAATACAAAAAATTAGCTAGGCATGGTGGCGTGTGCCTGTAATCCCAGCTTCTCAGGAGGCTGAGGCAGGAGAATTGTCTGAACCCAGGAGGCGGAGGTTGTGGTGAGCCAAGATCGCGCCATTGCACTCCAGGCTGGGCAACAAGAGCAAAACTCCGTCTCAAAAAAAGAAAAAAAAATCCCCAAAGTTGGAGCCTCTCACCTTTCCAGCTGTGGCCTCTGGGCAGCCCCTGCCACGAGACTGCGTCCGTTAATTAGTTTTGAGGCATACGTTTCATTTGGCTCTTCACGTCCGGGTGGAATGTACAGTGGCTGACAGATGGTGTGACAGATGCATGTGTCTGAGCCCACGTTCCCAGCACCATCCGTGCACTTCTCAGCAGTCTCCGAGCTTTGATACTTCTTAATCACCTCTTACCCTGAATTCCCAAAATTAGAGCTTTTCTATCCTGAGCTACAGCCAAGAGCCCAGCCACCGTGCCCTGCCCCCATGGCGATGACCAGCCCTTCCCTGATACTTCATGGAAATCTTCTGTCTTGGGGAATAATGCGTTTTGGCGAATGAGGCCGCTCGTGAAGGGAGCCGTGCGCACTAGGACCCGACGGTTGGTGTCCACGGCTTCTCAGCTGTGCTCCAGGCTTCCTGGCCCAGCTGGCACCCCTGGCTACCGTTTTAGGAGCCAGAAAGTCAGTGTTGGGACATTTCAAAGTAAAGCTTACAGACATTTTGTGGTGGCGATGCCCAGGGTGGCATGACTGTAACCCGGCCTTAGGCCGTGGAGACTCTGACGGAGAGAGGAGGCCTCCTAGGTCCTGGCCCCTGGAGGGAGGTACTTAGGTCTCCACCCTTCCGTGGAGGAGGACGTGCCGGGGAGGGGAGACTCCCAGCTTTACTTTGGTTCAACTTGAGGGTCAGAGGAGATGGTTCGGGAGCTGCTGAGCTTCCCAGCTGGAGCGCCAGTTGTCTGGCTTATGATCATGTGTGCGGCTTTCCTCTGTCACACAGGAAGGCTTTGAAAAGGGGGTTTGACAAGCCGCCACGTCTTTCACCAACTGTACTTGCTCAACCTGAGGACAACCCGGAGAGGCCACTATGCAGAGAAGGAGGCTGTGGTTCAGAGACCAGTGACTTGTGGAGGGTCAGCTAAGAAGCTGAGAGCTGGCGCTTGCTTGTGAGAGAGGCGGAGAGGTGTGGAGGAGCTGGCGGTCGTCACTCCCTGGGCAGGCGGGTGGGAAGTCCCACTCCATCGCCACGGGAATGTGCTTTGCTGGCGAGCTTCGGCTTCTCCAGGTGCCTGGCTACCTCTCTCCTCCATGCGGAGTGTGGGCCTGTCCACGGATCCTTGCTGTGGCTTCGCCGACGGTGGAGAACGTGGCGCATTCTCACACCTGAGTACGCCGCTGTGGGCGGCTGCATTTTAACTGCCCTGAGAATGCCGGTGTCCAGGGCATGCTGTGACTTATGCTGTGCAGAAGCAAGGGCTGGCATTGTGTCCACGGGATGGCGGCAAGCCAGTTGCTGATGCTGGAGCCACAGCCTCTGCGTCCTTCTTGGTGGGAGTGGCGGGCCGGTGGGAGAGCATCCCTGGCAGAGGTGAGGAGCCCTGGGGAAGGTCCCGTTCAGCAGGTGGCTGGGGCAGGTACCGACTGTGTGTAAGGATCTGATACTGCCAGGGTCCCAGGTCCGGGATGAGCACAGTGTGTGACCCTGTTGGTGCTCAGATCCCACGGCCCCACAGGCCCCTGCCCCGCTGCTCTCGTGTCCCCGCACCCTGCCCCCAGGTGCAGCCTTGCCTTTCTCTTTTTGTTGTTAGTGACCTTTGAGGTCACAAGATCATAAGGGTTGAGTTCCACATGATTAAGGGATGTCCGTGGCAAGGAAGGAGCTTTGGCTACGAGGAGGGGAAGGGATTCCAGTGCTCTAGGCAGGTCAGGGCACGTGCCGCGCACAGACCCCAGGCTCACTGTGGAGCTGCCTGGCGGAGGCGTGAGGCTCACAGAGCATGAAAGGGCAGCGGTGCTGGCCGGGACTCCATGGGGAGGAGCAGACCTGTCGGAGCTCAGCATGTCCTGCACGGAGCCATTTTCTTGTACCAGGCGGCCGACCCACAACAGTGCAGAGGGCACTGTGGGGCGTGCCGGGCTCCTTAGGCTGTGTGGAGGCCCCACAGCCTCTTCTCAGTGCAGAGTCCTCTAAACATAGGAATAGGCGGTGGCTCACCATTCTTCCAGAGACAGGTGTGGCAAGTGGTCTCCTTCCAGATGTGGGCAGAAAACCATTGTTACTTTTTAAAGCTTTTCACCCTGCTGGGGCTGTGAAGAGAACCTGGTGTTCCACACTACAGCTTGTTTGATGTCACCTCTTCCACCTGAGGATGAGCTTGGCCTGTGCTCCCGCTGGGGTCTGGGCGGCATCCCCTGGGGGCTGCGGAGGCTCCTGCTGCTGGGCACACGCTGGCCAGTGCTGTGCCAGCTGCAGGCAGGGCCGTCCCGGAGCTGCAGGCGCCGGGGGCACTAGGTGTGCTGCGAGCCGCTTGCCTCACTGAGTTAGCAGGGCAGGCTCAGCTCCGAGGGCTGGCCTTGAGTGCAGGACTGCCAGGACGCTGCCTGCCGGCTACATTCATCCATGTGAAATGGATGTCAGGACATCCCGGCCCCCTCTGGGGTGCTGGGATCGTTTCCGTTCCTCCTCATTCTTTGGCAGCCTTTGGAGGCTCCAGTGCTCTTGGTGACTGTATCGCAAGTCGGGAGGGGTCTGCCCAGCTTTCCTGGGTGTGTCTGAGTGGAGCACTCCGCTGCCCTGAGCGTGAGTGTGTTCAGGCCTTGGCCGTCTGAGGACCCTGTCTTCTCTCTTTCAGAGGATTACCCCAACGGCACCTGGCTGGGCGACGAGAACAACCCCGAGATGCGGGTGCGCTGCGCCATCATTCCCTCCGACATGTTGCACATCAGCACCAACTGCCGCACAGCCGAGAAGATGGCGCTCACGCTGCTGGACTACCTCTTCCACCGCGAGGTGCAGGCCGTGTCCAACCTCTCGGGGCAGGGCAAGCACGGGAAGAAGCAGCTGGACCCGCTCACCATCTACGGCATCCGGTGTAAGTCGAGCCCTGCCTCGGGGAGCTGGGTCAGGACCCGTGTTTCAGTGCTGGGCACGCTGGCGTCAGTAGGGCCGGCCTGGGGCTGCGTTTCTCCGGGCGGTTTGGGGATCACTGCTTGAGGGGATGGGTGCCCGGTTGACTCTGATGTGTGTATTATGCATGGCGTGCCTGCGCCACGGTATCTCATGTACCCCATAATATTTTACACCTACAGTGTACCCTTCAGTTAGGGTGAAAACCTCCTCGCCTCCTGTCCTCAGGCCACTCTTGAGGAAGTGGGAGGAAAGCCGGGGCCTTCCCTGCGGTCCTGCTGGCTGTGTTGACACAGGCGCCGAGCCTCTCCGGAGCGGGTGGAGTGCGCCTGCCTCCTTCCTTCAGAGAGGGCTGGGGCTTGGCAGCCGTGCCAGGGCCTTGGCGCTGACCTGGCTGTGATGGAGCCAGAAGAGCTCCAGAGCTCGATTTTCATGCCCAGCCCAGCCTGCGATGTTTCCCTCCCCTCTGAAGAGTGGGACTTGCTCCAGTGGCGATGGCAGTGTTGTCCTTCGATGGCGTTTGACAGCTGCTCAGGTCCTCCTTGCCAGCGTCCACGGTCCATCTGCTCCACAGAGCCCAGCTGCTCCAGAAGCCGCCTGCCTGGCTTCTAAAGTGAAGCATTAGCAAGCGCAGGAGACACGGGGCACCTGGTGGGAGGGGGCGTCTTCCGGAAATCCGGGTTCTAGAGACTTGCCACAGGGGAGCGTGAAGTGTGAATCTGATCTCCCAATTAGGCGAGCAAGGTGATGTACTTTGCGTCCAGGTCTCACCATGCCGGGGGCCGCTGTTCCTATAGGAGAGAGCCTTGCTCCTCTGCGAAGCTCAGTGAGGCCCTTGAGCCTCTGTCAGGAGCGGTAAGCAGTGGGAGGGCTCGGCTGTTGAGTAGTTGCTGTGGAAATGGGGTCTGAATGAGACTGAGGGGTTGTGCTAACTGCAGGTTTTCCTGGAAGCTGCTGAAAGGTGGTGCCCACGTCCTGCCCACACACGTGAGCAGGTCGAGGCATCTTCCCATTGCCATGTCTCGGCCCAGGCGTGTGCCCTGGCTATCAGACACTGGCGGGCACCTGTTCTGGACCCTGAAGGTAATCTCAGATGATTGCCTGGGAGATCACATGTGGGGCCCCCTCACAGCTTCTCAGGGGTGGAGTAAAGCAGGTCACAGAGGAACAGAGGGTCACAGGGCAGGTGTCACAGCCTTATTCTGAAGGGCCACATGGCAGATGATTCAGGCTTTGTGGGCCCTGGGGTCTCTCTTCAACCCCTCAGCTCTGAAAGCAGCCACAGGTGAAGAGCATGGCCATGGCTGTGCTGTGACAGGACACTGCCTTCAGAGGCGGGCGGAAGGCCCACCACCCCCTCCTCAGCTTTAGGGCATGGCGTGGCCGAGAGCGTACATCTGCGTACCTGATCACGTGAGGTGCTTGTAGCTTAAAACCCAGGGGTTGCTTTGTGCTGGTGCTGGGCGTGTAGACCATGGTATGGAGTGCACTGAGATGTGTAAGTCAGTGTGAGGAATGGCAGACAGAAGCATCTGGAGCCCGCGAGGTAGCGTGAGGTGTCACAGGAGTGTCAGGCTGGGCTGCGCTTGGAGGGGCAGCCTGGACAGAGAGGAAAGGATGGTGACATGTGGGTGAGTGTGCCATGCGTGTGGGGCGGTGATGTTGTGGGGTGGGCCCTATTCCCAGGTGAGGTGGGTGAGTGTGCCATGCCATGTGGGGCGGTGATGTTGTGGGGTGGGCCCTATTCCCAGGTGAGGTGGGTGAGTGTGCCATGCCATGTGGGGCGGTGATGTTGTGGGGTGGGCCCTATTCCCAGGTGAGGTGGGTGAGTGTGCCATGCCATGTGGGGCGGTGATGTTGTGGAGTGGGCCCTATTCCCAGGTGAGGTGGGTGAGTGTGCCATGCCATGTGGGGTGGTGATGTTGTGGGGTGGGCCCTATTTCCAGGTGAGGTGGGTGAGTGTGCCATGCCATGTGGGGCGGTGATGTTGTGGGGTGGGCCCTATTCCCAGGTGAGGTGGGTGTGCCATGCCATGTGGGGCGGTGATGTTGTGGAGTGGGCCCTATTCCCAGGTGAGGTGGGTGAGTGTGCCATGCCATGTGGGGCGGTGATGTTGTGGAGTGGGCCCTATTCCCGGGTGAGGTGGGATGAGTGTGCCATGCCATGTGGGGCGGTGATGTTGTGGAGTGGGCCCTATTCCCAGGTGAGGTGGGTGAGTGTGCCATGCGTGTGGGGCGGTGATGTTGTGGAGTGGGCCCTATTCCCAGGTGAGGTGGGTGAGTGTGCCATGCGTGTGGGGTGGTGATGTTGTGGAGTGGGCCCTATTCCCAGGTGAGGTGGGTGAGTGTGCCATGCCATGTGGGGTGGTGATGTTGTGGAGTGGGCCCTATTCCCAGGTGAGGTGGGTGAGTGTGCCATGCGTGTGGGGCGGTGATGTTGTGGAGTGGGCCCTATTCCCAGGTGAGGTGGGTGAGTGTGCCATGCGTGTGGGGCGGTGATGTTGTGGAGTGGGCCCTATTCCCAGGTGAGGTGGGTGAGTGTGCCATGCCATGTGGGGTGGTGATGTTGTGGAGTGGGCCCTATTCCCGGGTGAGGTGGGTGAGTGTGCCATGCGTGTGGGGCGGTGATGTTGTGGAGTGGGCCCTATTCCCAGGTGAGGTGGGTGAGTGTGCCATGCGTGTGGGGCGGTGATGTTGTGGAGTGGGCCCTATTCCCAGGTGAGGTGGGTGAGTGTGCCATGCCATGTGGGGTGGTGATGTTGTGGAGTGGGCCCTATTCCCGGGTGAGGTGGGTGAGTGTGCCATGCGTGTGGGGCGGTGATGTTGTGGAGTGGGCCCTATTCCCAGGTGAGGTGGGTGAGTGTGCCATGCGTGTGGGGCGGTGATGTTGTGGAGTGGGCCCTATTCCCAGGTGAGGTGGGTGAGTGTGCCATGCCATGTGGGTGGTGATGTTGTGGAGTGGGCCCTATTCCCGGGTGAGGTGGGTGAGTGTGCCATGCGTGTGGGGCGGTGATGTTGTGGAGTGGGCCCTATTCCCAGGTGAGGTGGGTGAGTGTGCCATGCGTGTGGGGCAGTGATGTTGTGGGATGGGCCCTATTCCCAGGTGAGGTGGGGTGAGTGTGCCATGCGTGTGGGGCAGTGATGTTGTGGGATGGGCGCTATTCCCAGGTGAGGTGGGATGAGTGTGCCATGCTTGTGGGGCGGTGATGTTGTGGAGTGGGCCCTATTCCCAGGTGAGGTGGGTGAGTGTGCCATGCGTGTGGGGCAGTGATGTTGTGGGATGGGCCCTATTCCCAGGTGAGGTGGGATGAGCAGGCCGTGCCGTGTGGGGCGGTAGCATTCTTCGGTGGGTCCTGTTCCCAGGGGAGGAGTCCCTGCTCCTCCAGGGAGATGACAGGGGCATCAGCTATGAAGTTGGAGGGCGGCCAGGTCTGATTTGGAAATTCAGGCTGAGGCATCATCCACCATGTGTTGTTTTTAAAATCAGGCACAGAGAATGTTCCAGCAAGGTGACGGACATGAGAGGGCAATACTCAGAGTGGAGCCTGTGGCAGTGGGGTGGCCGTGTCTGTACTCAGGGAGTCTGTGTGGGGCGGTGGAAGGCACTGCATGCTGCCAGCCCCAACTCCCTGCGTGTTGTGGCCGTGAGCTGACCTTCCCTGCTGAGCTTGCTTGGGAAGGGCTGCCAACCTCGACTGGGGTCTGGAAGCCTGAATGGGGAGTGGGAGACTGGCATGGGCTCTCCTGGGCCTGCCAGCTTTGGGGCTGTCCCCCAGATAGCCATGGTCACTGGCTTGCTCACCAGGCTGCTGGACCTCATGGCTTGGGGCATGCTCATGCTGTGAGTACCCAGCCTCCTCCTTGGCACTCAGCGACCCCCTTGGCAGCTCACTGGCAAGGCAGTGTCTGCTTCTCTTTTCTTTGGGAGTTGGAGTCTCACTTTGTTGCCCAGGCTGGAGTGCAGTGGTGTGATCTTGGCTCACTGCAACCTCTGCCTCTCGGGTTCAAGCAGTTCTCCTGGCTCAGTTTCCTCAATAGCTGGGACTACAGGTGCCCGCCACCATGGGCCAGTTTTTCTGTTTTTAGTAGAGACTGGGTTTCACCCTGTTGTCCGGGCTGGTCTAGAATTCCTGTCCTCAGGTGATCTGGCCACCTTGGCCTTTCAAAGTGTTGGGATTACAGGTGTGAGCCACTGCACCCGGCCTCAAGGCAGTGTCTTGTGGGACAGGAGCTAGAGCTCGCAGGATGGAGTTAGTGCCTATAATCGTGGCCCGTGTGACCACAGGCCTTTGCTGTGCCTCCCTGTTCCCAGCTCCTCTGGTGTCCACATGGAGAGGAGCCCTGCTCTATGGACTGAGAGAGCACGGCCCGCCCTCATACCACCTGCCCGGGCTCACTTCCTCTGGAGTGAAATCTGGGTGGAGATGGGAACAGGAGCTCCTTCTCCCGCCCTCTCAGGCCAGGTGGACCTGTGTCGCTTGCGCTTAGGTGGAATTGTTGAAATGTTCAGAACATTGCTTTACCCTTCTCCCTGTGGCCCCGTTTCATTCTTAATGATTGTTGCTCAGAAAACAAAACAAGTCAGATAAATGCATGGCGCAAACCTCCCCAGCCCCGGCTTGAGCCGCGTGGGAGCGGAATTGGCTGTATCGCCCCACCTCAGTCTGCTGTTGCTTCAGAGCCGCAGTGACGCCCGTGGCCTCAGCAGTCAGAGGCCTGCCGTCCTCACCAACCTGGGCAGCTCACGAGGGGGCAGGTGTTAAGTTTCTCCTTCTTACTCGTCCGCAAAAAGATTTTGTTTCTTTTTCTGAAGGAAAAGTCCATATTTTGAAGCACACAGTAGGTGATGTCTCTAAGCACCACCTTCCCGAACTGAGGAAATGAGCTTTTGGAAAGAGGGAGAGAGAAATTTGCTTTTTGGGGTGTTGGCTTTCTTAGAGTTCCCAAGGACCGGTGGAGCCCTGGATTTGGGCAGCTGACGTTTGCGTCTTATGCAAAGGAGCTTATTGTCAGGCCTTTGACAGCCTCGGATTGTTCTCCTGAGGGATGAGCTGGAAGGGCAGCAGCACTCGCCTGCCTGTTTTCTCTGCGAAGAGAGAGTGGGTTAGTTCTTAGGATTTCTACCCATGGCTCACACAGGCCTCTGCCCGGACTGTGCATCCAAGCCGCTGACCCCGATCTGAGGACTTTCCTAAGGACTGCTGTCTACGGCCATGCTGCCCTGAGCACGCCCGGTCTCGTCTGCTGTAAAGAATGCTGCTGTGGATGGCAGATCCCCTCGAAGCCTCCTAGCAGTTAGGGATTGGATTCATTGGCACAGAGTAAAATGTTATGCATTCAAGCTTGGCCTGTCGGACCATTGTAGTTCTTTTTAAATCATTCACTCCAAGAGCCAGTGGTATTTCCTAGCAGGAAGCAGCGGCTGCCAGGGGCTGCTTCGCTTGCACCTGTCCCTATTGTGTCTTGCAGGGTGCCTCACAGGTTCCTGTGGCCACTGTGACAAAGCTCCCAGCCTGGCTGGCTTAGAACAGACTGGTGTTCTCACACAGGTCTGGAGGCCGATGCCTGGGATCGAGGTGTGAGCAGGGCCACGCTTACTCTGCAGGGTCTTTCCCTCTCCCAGCTTCCGTGCTGGCCACATCCCTCCAGCCTCTGCCCGCGCCCCCCATGGCTGGCTTCTCCCTGTGTCTCCTCCTGTCTCCTTCTCCTCTCCGTATGAGGACAGTCACTGGATTTGGAGCCCCTCTTCTCCAGGATGACATCATCACAGCTTAGGTCATCACGTCTGCAGAGACCCCAGTTCCAAGTCAGGTCACAGTCTGGGGTCCTGGGCAGGACATGAGTTTTGTGGGGACACTGTTCAGCCCAGGACACAGGACACAGGTTCTTTTGAACTTGGGTGGTCAAGTGCTGTTTCTTCTCCAGGTTCTCTGTGGGGTGAAATGGTGATGCTGCCCTGTATGTGTCTTTCAGGGCAGAATGTGGACTCCACACAGGGGTGGATGTCTGTCTGCGGTGGGACATTGAGCCCCCGACAGTGACCTAGAGCTGGGAGGAAGGTCTGGTCAGTGTGGGCTCCAGGCAGAAAAGTGGGCGGAGCCTCCTCAGCAGGTACCCAGATGCAGTGACCTGGAGGTGGCCCTGCAAGTCGCTGTGACGGGCTCTCTTGCTAACAGACCAAGGACAGGTGTGACCCCACAGTCTTTTCTCATAAAGGAGTGAGGCAGCAGGCTTGGAGAAGGCGGCCTGCTTGGCCTGGAGGCTGGATGTATGAGGGGTGTGGGCTGCATGCTGCCCCCAGGAGGGAGCGTGTCAGCTGGCTGCCATTGGACAGAGGCTTCGGCTGGACATGTGAGGGGCATGGGCTGTGTACTGTCTTGGGAGGGAGCATGTCAGCCGGCTTCCACCGGGCAGAGGCTTCTAGACGCCTTTTGTTTTTCGAGGCAGCACTATCACGTCAAGTCTGTAATTTCAAGAGATGAATTGTTGGCACTCCGTTTTGTGCTGTACTTTCCCTTGCACTTGAGATGGCATTAGCTGGGGTGGTGCTTTTCATTCCTTTGTCACTGATAAGAGCATGCCACCCACCAAGGCGCAAGATTATAAGCCGTTCTGGTTCTCTTGTTCATTTCCCACAGTACCTCTCATGGCCACACAGAATGAGAGCTGGCAGTCGGCTTAGGATTTGAACCACCAGAGTCAGGGACGGGGGTTCTGGAAAGTGGGAAGGCAGTTAATGGTGATGGGGACCCTTTGGCTCTTTGGGGACCGCAGGACAGCTCTTCAGGAAGGGATAGGCACATGTGGTGACAGGGACGCTGCCTGGCTGAGCTGGAGGACAGGCCTGTCCCGGACTTTGGGGGGCCTTGATGGGCGTGATGTGGGGATATGCCTGGGGAAGGCAGGGACTGAGGCTGGACAGGGTGGTCTGCTGCCGGGTGACACCACGCCGTAGGGATCCCATGAGCCTCAGCAGCCGGATGCTGAGCACTTCTGTTCTCATGTCCTGCGCACTGCAGTGGGGGAGACTCTGCCTATAGCAACATTCAACCAGGCCTCCCACCAGCGGGGGCTGTGGGCGCCTTGGGCTGAGGGGGCCCAGGACAGCAGAGGCACATGTGTGGGGTGTGCGTGTTCTTCCCATCTCCCCAGCGCCTCTTGTGGGTTCTCAGGACCTGCTGAGGGCCACGTGGTGGGGCTGCTGCTTCCCCACCTGGTTGTCAACTCAGGTGTCACCACCCCAGTGTCAACTCGGCGGCGGGAAGCGTGCACTTGAAGAAGGTGGTGCTCACTCCTAACTGGTGATTGGACTTGGACACATCACAGTTGTGCTTCTTCTGGCTTTTGCCTCAAAACCAAGGTGAGAGTAATGACAGTCTTACTTCATGAGGCTTTTTTTTAATGTCCATCGAATAACTTGACAGAAAAAGCTGTAGGTGGAAAACGGCCGTTAAATTCCATCGAATGACACGAGAGAAGACGCTGTCGGTGGAAAACCGTTAAATTCCATCGAATGGCACGAGAGAAGACCCTGTCGGTGGAAAACAGCCGTTAATTCCATCGAATGACACGAGAGAAGACGCTGTTGGTGGAAAACCGTTAAATTCCATCGAATGACACGAGAGAAGACGCTGTCGGTGGAAAACAGCCGTTAATTCCATCGAATGACACGAGAGAAGACGCTGTTGGTGGAAAACAGTGGTTAATTCCATCGAATGACACGAGAGAAGACCCTGTCGGTGGAAAACCGTTAAATTCCATCGAATGACACGAGAGAAGACGCTGTTGGTGGAAAACAGCCGTTAATTCCATCGAATGACACGAGAGAAGACCCTGTCGGTGGAAAACAGCCGTTAATTCCATCGAATGACACGAGAGAAGACCCTGTCGGTGGAAAACCGTTAAATTCCATCGAATGACACGAGAGAAGACGCTGTCGGTGGAAAACAGCCGTTAATTCCATCGAATGACACGAGAGAAGACGCTGTTGGTGGAAAACAGTGGTTAATTCCATCGAATGACACGAGAGAAGACCCTGTCGGTGGAAAAACCGTTAAATTCCATCGAATGACACGAGAGAAGACGCTGTTGGTGGAAAACAGCCGTTAATTCCATCGAATGACACGAGAGAAGACCCTGTCGGTGGAAAACAGCCGTTAATTCCATCGAATGACACGAGAGAAGACCCTGTCGGTGGAAAACCGTTAAATTCCATCGAATGACACGAGAGAAGACCCTGTCGGTGGAAAACAGCCGTTAATTCCATCGAATGACACGAGAGAAGACCCTGTCGGTGGAAAACCGTTAAATTCCATCGAATGACATGAGAGAAGACCCTGTCGGTGGAAAACAGCCGTTAATTCCATCGAATGACACGAGAGAAGACGCTGTCGGTGGAAAATGGCCGTTAAATTCCATCGAATGACACAAGAGAAGATGCTGTCGGTGGAAAATGGCTGTTAAATTCCATCGAATGACACGAGAGAAGACGCTGTTGGTGGAAAATGGCTGTTAAATGCAAGGTGATCTTTTGATCCCATCACGATAGGATTTTTCCTGCTCCCGCTGTCACGTGCGGCTGCTCAGTGCTGTCAGAAAAGGTAAAGAAAGCAGCACCTCCAGGAATCGGAGCCCCTTGCAGACCCTCAGAGTCCCAAGGGCTGCCCAGAAGCGGGCGCTTGCCCCAGCTGCTGTCCGGTAGTGTCTGTGGGTGGCACCTGCACCCATCTGTGCGTGTTGAGATTCTCCCCCCCTCACCCACCGTGCTCTGGTGGTGGCGCTCGGGCGGCTGGTTTGTCCTCTGGGTCTCCTTAGTGGCTGGCAGGGGCATTTGCCCAGGCTGGGGCCTGAAGTGTGGATGGAAGGAATGAGTAACGCCTCAGGACAGTGTAAACTCAGGAGGAGGGAACTAGATGAATATCTATATTTTCTTTAAAGGGTATGAGCCAGGGTTAGATTTTTACACAGTTGAATTTAAATGTTAATGTTTTTACTCATTTCTCTTAACCTGAACACCTGTGTGTTTTAGATATATCTTCTTTCCTGCGACTAACCTGTTTTTAAATTTTGCACGGACTCAGCTAATCCTTAGCAGTAGATGGACGTCTTCTCCTGGAGTGGATGGCATGAGGGCAGCAGGAGGCCGGTTCTGAGGATGCTTCTGTTGACTGACTCATGCTCTGAGGATGTTTCCTGCTGATGGGCTGGCCGCTTCTCCGCTTGTCTCCTGCGGCGGCAGCTGGCCTGCTTGGCATCTAAAGTCAGTAGCTGGGCTCTCCTGAAGCCGTCTGAGTGGTTGTGGAAGTTGGGTTTCACAGTAACTGCGGTGCAGCCCCGGCCCTCGCTGGCCCTCCTGTATGGATTTCGTTGTGATTTTAATGGTTGGGTTCGCCTGTGGCCACAGCCAGCGGCTGGTTTCCTGTGTCAGTCACTAAAGTTGCTCAGCTGGGGTTTCCTGAGGCATGCCAGCCACCCGCCAGCATTTGAGTGGCGGCTCTGACTATGTTGGAGATGACCTGAAAACGAAACCGAAGGGCCGCCGAGGCCGTGAGGGCACAGAGGGGCCGCCAAGGCCGTGAGGGCACAGAGGTGCCGCCGAGGCCGTGAGGACACACAGGTGCCGCCGAGGCCGTGAGGGCACAGAGGGGCCGCCGAGGCCGTGAGGGCACAGAGGGGCCGCCGAGGCCGTGAGGACACACAGGTGCCGCTGAGACCGTGAGGACACACAGGGGCCGCCGAGGCCGTGAGGGCACACAGGTGCCGCTGAGAGGCCGTGAGGGCACACAGGTGCCGCTGAGAGGCCGTGAGGGCACACAGGTGCCGCTGAGACCGTGAGGGCACACAGGTGCCGCTGAGAGGCCGTGAGGGCACACAGGTGCCGCTGAGACCGTGAGGGCACACAGGTGCCGCTGAGAGGCCGTGAGGACACACAGGTGCCGCTGAGAGGCCGTGAGGACACACAGGTGCCGCTGAGACCGTGAGGACACACAGGTGCCGCTGAGACCGTGAGGACACACAGGTGCCGCTGAGAGGCCGTGAGGACACACAGGTGCCGCTGAGACCGTGAGGACACACAGGTGCCGCTGAGACCGTGAGGACACACAGGTGCCGCTGAGACCGTGAGGGCACACAGGTGCCGCTGAGACCGTGAGGACACACAGGTGCCGCTGAGACCGTGAGGACACACAGGTGCCGCTGAGACCGTGAGGGCACACAGGTGCCGCTGAGACCGTGAGGACACACAGGTGCCGCTGAGACCGTGAGGACACACAGGTGCCGCTGAGACCGTGAGGGCACACAGGTGCCGCTGAGACCGTGAGGACACACAGGTGCCGCTGAGACCGTGAGGACACACAGGTGCCGCTGAGACCGTGAGGGCACACAGGTGCCGCTGAGACCGTGAGGACACACAGGTGCCGCTGAGACCGTGAGGACACACAGGTGCCGCTGAGACCGTGAGGGCACACAGGTGCCGCTGAGACCGTGAGGGCACACAGGTGCCGCTGAGAGGCCGTGAGGACACACAGGTGCCGCTGAGACCGTGAGGACACACAGGTGCCGCTGAGACCGTGAGGACACACAGGTGCCGCTGAGACCGTGAGGACACACAGGTGCCGCTGAGACCGTGAGGGCACACAGGTGCCGCTGAGACCGTGAGGGCACACACGTGCCGCTGAGAGCCCGTGAGGACACACAGGTGCCGCTGAGACCGTGAGGACACACAGGTGCCGCTGAGACCGTGAGGGCACACAGGTGCCGCTGAGAGGCCGTGAGGACACACAGGTGCCGCTGAGACCGTGAGGACACACAGGTGCCGCTGAGACCGTGAGGGCACACAGGTGCCGCTGAGAGGCCGTGAGGACACACAGGTGCCGCTGAGACCGTGAGGACACACAGGTGCCGCTGAGACCGTGAGGACACACAGGTGCCGCTGAGACGCTCGAGGTTGATCTTCCCTCGGAGCCTACAAATCCCACCCTCCTGGCCAGCTTCTTTTCGTCTGGAGCACAGACGAGTTGGTTGTCATTATACAGACAGTCAAACACGTCTCAAGTATCTATAGAGTTAGGAAGCCTGTTTCCAAAACCCGCGGGACTTTGGATGCCTCTTCTTCCTCTGTTATTATTTCCAACGTTTTAGTCTCAGTGGGAACCGATTTCTGGGGTTTGGGCCGTAGGGTCCAAGCTCGAGGCTCTTGGTAGTCGAAACAGGACACTTTTCAGCGTAATCTTTTTATTCCTTCAGTTTGCGATTCCATCCTGTATTTTCCTGTAAATTCATGAAGTGCAGAGCCAGCTTGGGACCGCTGTGTTGGAGAGCCCTTCCCTGATGCCTGCACTCATCCTCGGTGCAAGGAAGGGCTCCTACGGCTTAGTGGGAGGGGCCTGGGTTGGTCCCGTCTCCTGCTCCACCACGGCCTCCGGAACCTCAGTTTTCTTCTTACTGAATACCAGGCATCTCTGGATGCTACTCAGGGTGTGCCGGGAGCTCTCTGTGGCACAAGTGGTAGAGAACTGGGGGTCCCAGGTGAGCCTTAGCCCCACAGTGAGAGTGACTGTGCCCACCTGGCTTGTGGTGCAGGGACTCCGGGGATGAGGACAGAGGCCCTGCCCTTGACGGGTGTGTGCTGTAGTTGAGAAGGCACAGTAGAAAGGCGTAGAGAATAGCAAGCCTCGGACTTGAGCAGTGATGGGAGGGTGACTCACACTCTGTGACGATCACTGTTTACAACACACCTGGGTGCAGCCACCGTGCCAGGACATCCTGGGTGTCTGACCTGCCTGCTGCGCAAGGCCGTTCTGTGTGCCTGACCGGCATGGGTGGACACAGCGAAGGCCCCTGTGTGTGTGAGGGAAACGGAGTGAACACTACATGCATGAATTCTCCACACACTGGAACGTGGTCAGTAGTCTGACCAAGCAAGTGGGAGGAGGGTGGGAGCCCAGGAGGGCTGGGACTGGGAGGTGCGAGGAGGGTGGGAGCCCAGGAGGGCTGGGACTGGGAGGTGGGAGGAGGGTGGGAGCCCAGGAGGGCTGGGACTGGGAGGTGCGAGGAGGGTGGGAGTCCAGCAGGGCTGGGACTGGGAGGTGGGAGGAGGGTGGGAGCCCAGGAGGGCTGGGACTGGGAGGTGCGAGGAGGGTGGGAGCCCAGGAGGGCTGGGACTGGGAGGTGGGAGGAGGGTGGGAGCCCAGGAGGGCTGGGACTGGGAGGTGGGAGGAGGGTGGGAGCCCAGGAGGGCTGGGACTGGGAGGTGCGAGGAGGGTGGGAGCCCAGGAGGGCTGGGACTGGGAGGTGGGAGGAGGGTGGGAGCCCAGGAGGGCTGGGACTGGGAGGTGCGAGGAGGGTGGGAGTCCAGCAGGGCTGGGACTGGGAGGTGGGAGGAGGGTGGGAGCCCAGGAGAGCTGGGACTGGGAGGTGCGAGGAGGGTGGGAGCCCAGGAGGGCTGGGACTGGGAGGTGGGAGGAGGGTGGGAGCCCAGGAGGCCCAGGAGGGGCAGGTGGTTGTCGAGGGGGATGGTGGAGCCGACTTGAAGGAAGGAGGGTGGTGGCCGAGCAGGTCTGAGTGAGCAGAGGAGTGACAAGTTCTGCTTCAGTTGTCGAGGTCCCTGAGCTCCGCCTCTGGGCACTCGATGTGCTGGGTGCTGTGAGTTCAGGGCAGAGGGAAGCTGGAGCACGGGAGAGCTGGGAATCCTGTGAGCGCCTCAAGTGCACATCTGGTGTGGGCGGCCCAGGTCACAGGAATGGGGAAGTTAAGTAACTGGAAAGAGTGTGTCACGATCGAGAGCCCTGCCTGTGGGCCACTAAGTTCCTTCTGTGCAGTGGGCCTTTCCGAATCCTTTGCAGGAAGATGGGACTGGCCTGGCGGGTAGGTTCCTGGGGGAGGCCTCTGCAGCGGGCCCAGGCTCTGCCGCCAGGCGTCTCCTGATAGCCGTCCCAAGCAGGCCTCACCTCTTGTCCTTGGATGTGTCCTTTCAGGCCACCTTTTCTATAAATTCGGCATCACGGAATCCGACTGGTACCGAATCAAGCAGAGCATTGACTCCAAGTGTCGCACGGCATGGCGGCGCAAGCAGCGGGGCCAGAGCCTAGCGGTCAAGAGCTTCTCGCGGAGAACGCCGAACTCATCCTCCTACTGCCCCTCAGGTAGGCCTCGTGCTGTGGGACAGGCTGCCCTCCCCTGCTTGGCGAAGCTGGCCTGATGGCACTCAGGGCAGTCCAGAGTGTGGCGGGCAGTTCCAGCAGCTGCCAGGAACCGAAGTGGGAGGCTGGTCCGGTGCACCTGGGGCAATGGAGCCGCAGCACCTTCTGCCTGGCCCTGTGAGCCCTTCCGCAGACAGCCTCAGGCCCGCCCCAGGCTCCTCCGGGAGGGACACAGGGCCCGTTGGGCCTCCTGGAAGTCTTCTGGCCGGGGCGAGGAGGGCTAGGCCTTTGTGTGTGGGTGCTGGCCGTTGTATTGTGATCTGCCTGGTGACCCCAGGTGAGGAGCAGCTGGATTCTGAACTGCGCTTTATTTTTACTCTGAGTTCATGGCCTTAGTTGGATTTAAGCACAAGGTAGTGGAAACAGTTCTCCTGCAGTCACCTCTCAGGCGTCGCCAGGAGAATTTTCACTAGGGATGGCAATGTGACTCGACAGCGCCTTTCCCCCACCGCATCTCAAATTAGTGTCCTAAGTATTTGAATGCAAAGTGTTCTTTGAAAAGTCCCCACAGTAGCTGCAGTGGCAGCAGCTCCTGGAACTGGAGCTCTGACTGGGGCTGGGTCAGGATGTGAGGGCAGCGTAGACAGGGCCGACTCTTCGACTCAGTGGAGTCTTTGTCCTGGAAGTGCTGTGAGTGGCAGACCAGACCCCTGGCGTTCTCCCGGCGTCTCGTTCTTCCTGAAGCTTCAGGAAGTGGTTTCCTGGGCTGTTTTGGTAGTTATCAGATACTCGGCCTCAGCTGCTGCCCAGGGCTTTGAGGACGGGAGGTGGCTGGCTGGTGTGGGCCACACCAGTTGTGTCCCTACAGCAGCGCTTTATTGGGAGACGTGTGTTGTGAAGAAGCTCTTCTATTCTAGGCCTTTGTGCTACAATTAGGAATTCTGCCTTGGGTCTGTAGAGAGGCAGCAGTCCTGGGATGTGGTGAAGGCCTTGGCTGAAATACTGTGTAGCACAGTAACCTGTGGCCATGGAAATGGGGCTGTGGGAATATTGCTCATGACCTGAATTACGCCCTTGAATATGCATAGTGAGGCAGCAGAGAGTGGACCTGAGAACTAGACTTAGGGTCGGTTACCATTTTCTATTACAAAGATATGTGGAAGTTGACTAAAAATCTATGTGTGATGATTCTTACAGTGTCTGTCTCTAGATAGTAGGATAATTTTTGTTTTTCTCTTTCATTATCGTTTTTCATTTATTTCCAATAAGCCCGCATTAGTTTTATAGTTTTAAAAAATGCCATTTAAAAGCCAGAGAGGACAGGCATGGTGGTTTACGCCTGTAATCCCAGCACTTTGGGAGGCCGAGGCAGGCAGATCACCTTGGGTTAGTGGTTCGAGACCAGCCTGGACAACATGGTGAAACCCTGTCTCTACTAAAAATAGAAAAATTAGCTATTCAGGAGGCTGAGGCAGAAGAATCTCTTGAATCCAGGAGGTGGAGGTTGCAGTGAGCTGAGATTGCGCCATGTACTGCAGCCTGGGGGGACCCCCCCCCCAAAAATAGGGGAGATTTCTGCCTTTGGTCAGGCATAGTAGCCGGAACCAGATTGAATCCTCTTGCCATCGAAATCTGGACAAAAATGTATGAATCAGCTGTCCTAAGACGTTAGACAGGCAGCAGCGCAGGACTGTGGTCTTTGAGGGAAGGAACATGAGAGGAGGGGTGCCACTGGAGCAGCAGGGGGTGCCAGGCAGAGCACAGCACAGTCACTGCCTTCAGGAGATGGATTGGAGAGGAGCAAGGCTGAGGCAGCTGCAAGTTGTGGAATCAAGTTCTTAAAAGCAGAGAGACAGAAAAGAGCTCCAGCGTCTGTCCAGGGGCCTCCTTGGGCCTTTGGGGACTTCCAAAGCAGGCATGAGCTGAAGGGTCCCTAAGCTCACACCAGGCTGGGTGGTGGCTGGATTCCCAGCAGCCAGAGTGGAGAATCCGCAGTGATCAGTCACTGCAGTAGCCAGCCCTGCCTGCTGGTGGGGCTCAGCTGTCTCTAGAGTACAGGCGGGGCTTAAAACAGCCTGAGAGGGAGCACACTGAACCACAGCAGCAGCGCTTTCCAAGACAGACAGCAAACCTAGACACCCAGCAAAATAAAGTTACAGTGTCCAGTATCCAGTCACGAGTACCAAGAAGCAGGAGATGTGACCTGGGATCAGAAAAGCCAGTCAGTGGAAGGAGACCCTGCCTGGAAGTAACTGACAGGGCATCGAAGTCCATTAAATTACATACAAGGATCTGAAGGAGAAAGGAACACAGCAGGGAGAGGAAAGGAGACATAACACCACCTGGAGCTCCTGCACTCGAAAGGCGAGGAGAGCGGCTGCCAGGCCTGCCCTCCGTGTGTCTCAGGTACGTGCGTGTGGCAAGGTTAGCGGCCTGTTCCATCCCACGGGGAACCAGAGCCCAGGTTAAATGACTTCCCAGGACCTTAGTGAGCAAGAAGCTGCTGTTGTGTAACCTGACAGGTGGGCCGGCCTGCGTTATTAGGACACTGAAAGATCTCGAAGGGGTAAACTTAACCCGGTGCAATTCCACTGCTGCAAATGGAGCTCAGAGCATTTGTGCGGGAGCAGCCTGCGAGGCTGCGTGGTGTGCAGGAGCCTCCTTGGAGCCCGTGCGGTTGGAAGGTGCACACCGGGGCACACCCATTCTTAGTTTGTATGCCCTGTGGCCCCAGGGGAGCTGTGTGGGGACGGACTATCACTGTGGCAGTGGGCTGGAAGCCATTGTCTTTGGGAAATGGTTAGAAATGGAGATTTCACAAGGTTTGATAATGGTTTGTTAGAAGCCTGGAGAAGTGATGCGTCAGTGAAGAATGAGGTTGGGTTTGCAGGTCCTAGGAGGGTCAGTGAAGGAACAGCAGGTTCGGGGAGGTGGGCTTCAGCCCAGCTGGGATTTTGTCATCTTCCTGGGGTCCACAAGGCTTGCTCAAGCACTTGTGCTGGTGAGTGCTCTGTAGCTGCTCAGGGGGACAGCAAAGCGCCGTGGCCTGGGGGAGGGTGCTTTGGGACATGGCTCATCTCTGCAGGTGCTCAGGTGGGGTCAGGGTCTTCATTCAACATGCAGGTGGTCCACCTTCTAATAACATGGCCCATCTCTGCAGGTGCTCAGGTGGGGTCAGGGTCTTCATTCAACATGCAGGTGGTCCACCTTCTAATAACATGGCTCATCTCTGCAGGTGCTCAGGTGGGGTCAGGGTCTTCATTCAACATGCAGGTGGTCCACCTTCTAATAACATGGCCCATCTCTGCAGGTGCTCAGGTGGGGTCAGGGTCTTCATTCAACATGCAGGTGGTCCACCTTCTAATAACATGGCCCATCTCTGCAGGTGCTCAGGTGGGGTCAGGGTCTTCATTCAACATGCAGGTGGTCCACCTTCTAATAACATGGCCCATCTCTGCAGGTGCTCAGGTGGGGTCAGGGTCTTCATTCAACATGCAGGTGGTCCACCTTCTAATAACATGGCCCATCTCTGCAGGTGCTCAGGTGGGGTCAGGGTCTTCAGTTGGAGCTGAGTTCCCCACGTTCAGCATGCAGGTGGACCACATTTGAATTACATGAAAGTAGGATTCTGATTCAGGGTAGCTGGGCAATTTCTAGCATGTTGCGATTATTGACATTTTATTATGTGGCCTGGCACGGTGGCTCAGCTGTCATCCCAGCACTTTGGGAGGCTGAGGCAAGCAGATCATTTGAGGACATGAGTTTGAAACCAGCCTGGCCAACATGGTGAAACCCTGTCTTTACGAAAAATACAAAATAAATTAGCCAGGTGTGGTGGTGGGTGCCTGTAGCCCCAGCTACTTGGGAGGCTGAGGCAGGAGAATCGTTGGAACCGGGAGGCGGAGGCTGCAGTGAGCTGAGACCGCACCACTTGCACTCCAGCCTAGGCAACGGAGCGAAACTCTCCAGAGGAAAAAACATTTTATTATGTTACTTTAAAAATTGTATTCAGTGCAACGTGTGTACTATGGCAATTTAATACCTACCATTAGCTATGGGTGAACAACTCATGGAAACCTTTTTTTTTTTTTTTTGGAGATAGTCTTACTCTGTTGCCCGGAACTGAGTGCAGTGCTGTGATCTCGGCTCACTATAACTTCCTATTCCTGGGCTCAAGCGATTCTCCTGCCTCAGCCTCCCAAGTAGCTGGGGCTACAGGCATTTGCCAGCATGTCTGTGTAATTTTTGTATTTTTAGTAAAGATGGGGTTTCACCATGTTGGTCAGACTGGTCTCAAATGCCTGACCTCAAGTAATTCACCCACCCCAGCCTTTCAGAGTGCTGGGATTACAGGTGAGCCACCACATGTGGCCCACGTTCTTTAATCATCAGAAATTTTATGGTTTTTGTTTTTCTCCATGCATTCGTATCAGCGTTCGACTTCTCTCGCAGAATTTCATCTTACTGCTTTTTTTTGTTTGAGACGGAATCTTGCTCTGTTGCCGAGGCTGGAGTGCAGTGCTGCCATCCCAGCTCACTGCAGCCTCTGCCTCCCGGGTTCAAGTGCTTGTCCCGCCTCAGCCTCCTGAGTAGCTGGGATCACAGGCGCACGCGACCGCACCCGTCTAATTTTTGTACTTTTAGTAGAGATGGGGTTTCACCATGTTGGCCAGGCTGGTCTCAAGCTCCTGACCTCTGGTGATCTGTCCGCCTTGGCCTTTCAAAGTGCTGGGATTACAGGCGTGAGCCACTGTGCCCAGCCCTTATTACGTGTCTATGCATTAACTTTTTTTGTTAGTTGTCATAATTCTCTGCAAGAAAATTATGTGTATGCGTTGAAAATTAAAAGCTTTTCTGTGCTCTTAATATTCTAAGTGTTTAAGAAAATTATGATTGCGGTATCATTATAACGAAAATATGCAGTACATCAAAGCACATTCTTGTTTTGATTAAACACAGCACATACATTTGTTGGAAATGTAGCTTTAAGTGCGTGGCTGAGGTTTTTTCCCTATTAGTTGAATTACCCATGGACAGATACTGCCGGCCTGAAACAGCTTTTGATGTCCACTTGCAGAACTTCATTCATTTGAATAAGTTGGGACTAGAAGGGGTTTTGTCATGGCAGCGTCACTCCACTCAGCCCATCTGCGTTCCATGTGGGAAGCCTCAGCTCCTAAGACGCTCTCTTAGTGACCTCTGCAGAAGAGTGGAGGCGGTGCGAGTGAAGGAGGAATGAAGCATTTCCTCTTCTCTGCTGTGGGAGTAGAGTGAGGGATGGACAGGGGTGCGGGGGCCCATGTGCTGCCGGAAGCGATGCCTAAGAAACTTCTCGTTCACCTCATTCGCACCTGTCGCCCCACAGAGCCGATGATGAGTACCCCACCGCCCACCAGCGAGCTCCCGCAGCCACAGCCGCAGCCGCAGGCGCTGCATTACGCCCTGGCCAACGCGCAGCAGGTGCAGATCCACCAGATAGGAGAAGACGGACAGGTGCAAGTAGTACGTACCCTCCCCACCATGCACCTCGGGCAGGGCGGGCGGTGGGGCGGGCCACCGCTGCGTTTTGGGAGCACAGTGATAGCTTGGGAGGAGGCATAGGGACCCCATTTAAAGGAGAGGCGATCGTGGCTGTGAGCTCTTGCATTTTGCAGATGTGGGCAGCTGCCGCAGTACCTAGGGGTTGAGGCACATGGTGGGGTGCAGGCATTCGCTCAGCTCACCTTGGTCCTGGGCGATGAGCTGCGAGGGCCAGGCTGTGCTCCTGGGAAGCAGCGTAACAACACTCAGTTCAGAGGCGCAGGCGTCTTCTTACTGAGGGAAAGAAGGTAACTTCCTTCTAGGATCAGTGGCAAAAGCTTGAGGCCATTGTTCCCATGCAGCCTTTCCCTCGGGGTTTCTCAGCACACCCAGGCTGGGCAGACACACCTCAGCAGCACGTCAGTGCCCTGCCTTGCCTATGTGGAGTTCTCTCTCAGGGTTTTGTGGCCCAAGCTGCAGCCAGCCTGATGAACTAGGGACTGACTCCCGGGTGAGGTCCCTCTACAAACACCTTCTGAATTTTGTGGCACAAGAGTAGGGGGGTGGCAGAGAAGGAAGACTTTTTCAGAAGCTTTGCTGGGTGACTAGAAATTGTACCTGTGTCACTAGACACTGCTGATGTTTTTAGTTGCGCCAGCCCCTTCGGGACCTCTGAGGTCAGTGGTCATCGTGTGCCCCCTGGGAACAGGGTCCTCTAGTACTGAGAGCGGGGTGCAGCTCTCGTCTCCTGTGGCTTCAGCACATTGTCTGCAAGGGGGAAGGCTTCCAGAAAATGCTGGCGCGTTTAGGTGGGGCATTATCCTTTCTCTTCCACAGGAGATGGGACAGTCATGAATAGTGAATTTCCCAGGCTAATTCAACTCATATGACACAAAGGCAGCTACTCTCATCTTGTTAGTATGGGGCTCTTTGAAAGGGTTCCAGAATACGTAACAGTACCCCCTATGCCATAATGCTTACATAGAACATTCTACAGGAGTTTATTTTAAGGTCCATTTTGACTAAGAGTAATTTCAGATAAGATAAGGAGTATTCATTTCATTTATAGGTTTATAGGAATTGTCTGCCTTATGTATAAACATTGGATTCTTGAATTTTTTTGTTTTTTTGGAATCACATTTGTGTTGACTCAAGCTGTTTAAATAGTCATATGAGTGTTTCTTTGATTTAAAAAACATTGCCTGTTGTGTTCTGAGTGTGGGCGCACAAACGGCTCTCCCGCTCCCGGCCACGCTCGGCCTGTGTAGCCTCGCAGCACCCCCAGAGAGCTGAGCGTATCATTTGGAAAGAGGGGTTATTCTCATTTTTCTGTTTCCCTTCTTTTCTTTGTGTCGTGCACATTTTAAAATGTACTTAGTTTAGTGACATTCAGAAATGTCAATACCTTTCCTCAGACCTGTTGCTGCTTTGTGAAGTACCGTAAAAGGCTCTGTGTGCGTCACACAGTATCCCTTATCCACAGGTACCCCCTTATCCACAGGTGTCACACAGTATCCCTTATCCACAGGTACCCCCTTATCCATGGGCGTCACACAGTATCCCTTATCCACAGGTGTCACACAGTATCCCTTATCCACGGGTACCCCCTTATCCACGGGTACCCCCTTATCCACGGGCGTCACACAGTATCCCTTATCCACAGATACCCCCTTATCCACAGGTGTCACACAGTATCCCTTATCCACGGGTACCCCCTTATCCACGGGCGTCACACAATATCCCTTATCCACAGGTGTCACACAGTATCCCTTATCCACAGGTGTCACACAGTATCCCTTATCCACAGGTACCCCCTTATCCACAGGTGTCACACAGTATCCCTTATCCACAGGTACCCCCTTATCCACAGGTGTCACACAGTATCCCTTATCCACAGGTGTCACACAGTATCCCTTATCCACGGGCGTCACACAGTATCCCTTATCCACAGGCGTCACACAGTATCCCTTATCCACAGGCGTCACACAGTATCCCTTATCCACGGGCGTCACACAGTATCCCTTATCCACAGGTGTCACACAGTATCCCTTATCCACAGGTGTCACACAGTATCCCTTATCCACGGGTACCCCCTTATCCACGGGCGTCACACAGTATCCCTTATCCACAGGTGTCACACAGTATCCCTTATCCACCGGCGTCACACAGTATCCCTTATCCACAGGTGTCACACAGTATCCCTTATCCACAGGTGTCACACAGTATCCCTTATCCACGGGTACCCCCTTATCCACGGGCGTCACACAGTATCCCTTATCCACAGGTGTCACACAGTATCCCTTATCCACGGGCGTCACACAGTATCCCTTATCCACAGGTGTCACACAGTATCCCTTATCCACAGGTACCCCCTTATCCACGGGCGTCACACAGTATCCCTTATCCACCGGCGTCACACAGTATCCCTTATCCACAGGTGTCACACAGTATCCCTTATCCACGGGCGTCACACAGTATCCCTTATCCACAGGTGTCACACAGTATCCCTTATCCACAGGTGTCACACAGTATCCCTTATCCACGGGTACCCCCTTATCCACGGGCGTCACACAGTATCCCTTATCCACAGGTGTTACACAGTATCCCTTATCCACGGGCGTCACACAGTATCCCTTATCCACAGGTGTCACACAGTATCCCTTATCCACAGGTACCCCCTTATCCACGGGCGTCACACAGTATCCCTTATCCACGGGTGTCACACAGTATCCCTTATCCACAGGTGTCACACAGTATCCCTTATCCACGGGCGTCACACAGTATCCCTTATCCACAGTGTCACACAGTATCCCTTATCCACAGGCGTCACACAGTATCCCTTATCCACAGGTACCCCCTTATCCACAGGTGTCACACAGTATCCCTTATCCACGGGCGTCACACAGTATCCCTTATCCACGGGCGTCACACAGTATCCCTTATCCACAGGTGTCACACAGTATCCCTTATCCACAGGTACCCCCTTATCCACAGGTGTCACACAGTATCCCTTATCCACAGGTGTCACACAGTATCCCTTATCCACGGGTACCCCCTTATCCACGGGCGTCACACAGTATCCCTTATCCACAGGTACCCCCTTATCCACAGGTGTCACACAGTATCCCTTATCCACAGGTACCCCCTTATCCACGGGTGTCACACAGTATCCCTTATCCACAGGTGTCACACAGTATCCCTTATCCACGGGCGTCACACAGTATCCCTTATCCACAGGTACCCCCTTATCCACGGGCGTCACACAGTATCCCTTATCCACGGGTACCCCCTTATCCACAGGTGTCACACAGTATCCCTTATCCACAGGTACCCCCTTATCCACGGGTGTCACACAGTATCCCTTATCCACGGGTACCCCCTTATCCACAGGTGTCACACAGTATCCCTTATCCACGGGTACCCCCTTATCCACAGGTGTCACACAGTATCCCTTATCCACAGGTGTCACACAGTATCCCTTATCCACGGGTGTCACACAGTATCCCTTATCCACAGGTGTCACACAGTATCCCTTATCCACGGGTACCCCCTTATCCACGGGTGTCACACAGTATCCCTTATCCACAGGTACCCCCTTATCCACGGGTGTCACACAGTATCCCTTATCCACAGGTGTCACACAGTATCCCTTATCCACGGGCGTCACACAGTATCCCTTATCCACGGGTGTCACACAGTATCCCTTATCCACGGGTACCCCCTTATCCATGGGCGTCACACAGTATCCCTTATCCACGGGTACCCCCTTATCCACAGGTGTCACACAGTATCCCTTATCCACGGGTACCCCCTTATCCACAGGTGTCACACAGTATCCCTTATCCACGGGTACCCCCTTATCCACGGGTGTCACACAGTATCCCTTATCCACGGGTATCACACAGTATCCCTTATCCACAGGTACCCCCTTATCCACAGGTGTCACACAGTATCCCTTATCCACGGGTGTCACACAGTATCCCTTATCCACGGGTGTCACACAGTATCCCTTATCCACGGGTACCCCCTTATCCACGGGTGTCACACAGTATCCCTTATCCACGGGTACCCCCTTATCCACGGGTGTCACACAGTATCCCTTATCCACGGGTACCCCCTTATCCACGGGTGTCACACAGTATCCCTTATCCACGGGTACCCCCTTATCCACAGGTGTCACACAGTATCCCTTATCCACGGGTGTCACACAGTATCCCTTATCCACGGGTGTCACACAGTATCCCTTATCCACGGGTACCCCCTTATCCACGGGTGTCACACAGTATCCGTTATCCACGGGTGTCACACAGTATCCCTTATCCACGGGTACCCCCTTATCCACGGGTGTCACACAGTGTCCCTTATCCACGGGTACCCCCTTATCCACAGGTGTCACACAGTATCCCTTATCCACGGGTACCCCCTTATCCACAGGTGTCACACAGTATCCCTTATCCACGGGTACCCCCTTATCCACAGGTGTCACACAGTATCCCTTATCCACGGGTACCCCCTTATCCACGGGTGTCACACAGTATCCCTTATCCACAGGTGTCACACAGTATCCCTTATCCACGGGTACCCCCTTATCCACGGGTGTCACACAGTATCCCTTATCCACAGGTACCCCCTTATCCACAGGTGTCACACAGTATCCCTTATCCACAGGTACCCCCTTATCCACAGGTGTCACACAGTATCCCTTATCCACAGGTGTCACACAGTATCCCTTATCCACAGGTACCCCCTTATCCACAGGTGTCACACAGTATCCCTTATCCACGGGTACCCCCTTATCCACAGGTGTCACACAGTATCCCTTATCCACGGGTACCTTCTTATCCACGGGTGTCACACAGTATCCCTTATCCACGGGTACCCCCTTATCCACAGGTGTCACACAGTATCCCTTATCCACGGGTACCCCCTTATCCACGGGTGTCACACAGTATCCCTTATCCACAGGTGTCACACAGTATCCCTTATCCACGGGTACCCCCTTATCCACGGGTGTCACACAGTATCCCTTATCCACAGGTACCCCCTTATCCACAGGTGTCACACAGTATCCCTTATCCACAGGTACCCCCTTATCCACAGGTGTCACACAGTATCCCTTATCCACAGGTACCCCCTTATCCACAGGTGTCACACAGTATCCCTTATCCACAGGTACCCCCTTATCCACGGGTGTCACACAGTATCCCTTATCCACAGGTGTCACACAGTATCCCTTATCCACAGATGTCACACAGTACCCCCTTATCCACGGGCGTCACACAGTATCCCTTATCCACAGGCGTCACACAGTACCCCCTTATCCATGGGCTCACTTCCCCAGGTTTTAATTACCCATGGTCTACTGGGATCTGAAAATACTAAATGAGAAGTTCCAGAAATACACAGTTGATCAGTTTCAAATTGTCTACTCTTCCGGGTAGTAGCACGTGAAGTCTGGTTGTCCTGCTCCGTCCGCCTGGGACACGAGTCCTCCCTTTGTCCAGCGTGTCCAAGCTGTGCGGCCTGTCTGGCAGGAACAGGTATAGGATACACGGTTCAGCACTGTCCACGGTTTCTGGCATCCACGTGGTGGGGAGAAGGGGGCGCTTCTTGACAGCCTCGTGGATGAGGGGGCTACTGGGAACCAAGTATGAAGCGCTGACCAAGCTTATGCTAGGTATAGACTGTATTGCAGTATTAGGGGCGAGTTATCTCTCTGAATGGCAGACAGATAATCCGGAACACACTTTCCGGAAGACGTTTCTTGTTTCCTTTGCTTTTGATTTTCTTCTGATGCTTCTTGGTGTCTTTTCTTGCTGCGGATCCCACAGGGACACCTCCACATCGCCCAGGTGCCACAGGGGGAGCAGGTCCAGATCACGCAGGACAGCGAGGTGAGTCAGCCTCCACCAGAGCATTGTCCCCGCATGCTCCTGACCTTCGTCTGTGTCACAGTGCGCTGGCAGCTGGGAGCCCCGAGGATGGGGCACGTGGGCCACGGCTGGGGGACTCTGCTTCGCGGGTGCACAGGCGGGCCTGAGTCTCTGTGGCCTCACTGCCTCCTCCTCCTGTCTGTTGGTCTCTACAGCTTCTGGTCTGTCTTGGCCAAGACCTCCTAGGTCGATGTTTCTGCTCCTGGCTGGAAGTGTCCTCTGAGTACCCTTCTCTCCCTGTGTGGCCCTGCCCTTCCTGCCTGGGGAGGCCCCCAGTGAGCCCAAGGTGTGGCCTGCCTCTGCACAGGCGACCTGATACACTCCCCTCATATGCCATGTGGCCCCAGTGTCCTCGTGGCCACAGTGGGATTAGTGCCGATTTCATGGGATGGTGGGGAATCCCGTGAGGTGATGCTGCCAGTCCTGAGAGCTGATACTAGCCCTTGACACACCTGTCGGCTCTGTGGTTGTCTCCGTTGTCTCAAGTGCAGGAGCCCTCCCAGCCACACGCTCAGAAGTGTGGGCTCAGCTGCTGTTGGGATGTGGAATGTGAAGGCAGGACTGATGGTCTGAGCTTTCAGAAAGCCGAGGCTGGCTGGTCCCCATGCTCCGTGTCTGTGTGCCAGGGCAGGACTGTCTCCTGGTGGCTGGTGACCGTCCTTTGACTCTGGGCTGCTTCCTACCACACAGGCACTCAGCAGCATACACATGTGGTACTGAGTGACCGTTTTGCGCTCTGGGGGATGAGGAACATGGCTGTTTCTAGGTCGTGACAGCGGCACCTGCACGATAGTGTGTCATTATGAAGATGTCGGGCTTCCCCACACACACCTGCGGCAGGGACCAGGAAGCCTGGGGCTAGGTTGAGGGGACCTTGGAGATGTTAGTGGGTGTGTGAGGACTCCTGGGAGCTCATGCAGGGTGCAGGTTCTGTGGAGGAGCAGAGGAGTGAGAGGCCAGAGGGTCCTGCCCAGGTACCTGTGAGCAAGGCTGTGGACACATGCACGCCGTGACATGAGGAGCACGAGGGACTGGGATGTGTCTGCTGGTGGTGGCTTTAATTTGGACACCAGCAGTTCCCAGTGGGTTATTCCGAGAGGGGAGCACATGCTTGAGGTTCCAAGGGCGGAATGAGGATGAGGTGAAAGGGGAGGAACGAGGTTACGTGGGGGCGGTGAGCCCCTGGGAATGAGCGGGCTCATCCACACAGCGGTGTGACCAGGTCACTAAGAAACGTGTAGCAGATGGATGGATGGAAGGAAGCACCAGGGCAGGGGGCAGGTGGGGGACAGTCCTGGGAGGCCAGAGCAGAGCCGGGTTCTGTGTCTGTGGGTGGGTTGGGAACCATCTCTGTGGGGATGCTGGGAGATGCACCTGTTAGCTCAGGGAAGTCAGCTGCAGGAGTGGGGCAGAGCCCTGAGCCGCTGCGAGGGGCAGGATCTCAGCCGCAGCTGCCAGTGCACCAGCTGCCTTCCAGGGGGCAGTGGAAGGTTTGCTTCTCAAGGCACAGATGCGTGGGGGCTGGGAGGCCAAACTCGATACTCTAGAAGCCTTGCGTTCATTGGAGTGCTTACTTTCCTTATAGTCATTGGAAATGAAGGAAAATTGATAAGCAGCAAAAGAAAAAATCAGCACACGTGCTGTTTATGGTTGGTCTTTACTACGACTGGAACTTGAACTTTGTATCATCAGTTTTGTATCCTCAGCCCTCTCAGTTTTCAGCACTGAGGCAATCTTGTGTGGGTAGTTGCCTTCCTTGTTTCCATCGGGAATTAGGATTGCTAATCATATTAATGATGGCTTTGTGACAAGTGACAGTGTGCCGTCTCATCGCAATAAATTCATACCTCGTTCATTGAAAATTATTTTGCTGAAACAAGATACTGAAAATAAACATTTAGCAGGGTCTAACAGACTTAGAACAATTCCTTTTTACAACAGACAAAAATGGATTTCCAGCTGGAGAGCCCTTAGCAGCTCTGTGGTTGAGTGAGCCGGTGGGTTGCGTGCGCCCATGTCTGGCGTGATGTGCCACAGCTCAGTAAGGTGTCCCCATTGGGGGAAGCTTGGCAGCGCGCACATAGGACCTTTCTGTGCTACTTTTTGTGAGTCTAAAATTCTTTCAAAATAAAAAATAAAGCAAAAATGTCATTTTCGTTAGGGGTCAGGGTCGGGGAATGGGTACAGTGCTTTTGGAGTTGTTTGTTCATCTTTACAATAAAATAGTACCTAGAAATTGAAGCCTTTGGCTTTGGGACTGTTTTGCTACTGGAGGTTGAAATTTTGCAGAACTGGTGTGTTTCTCATTCCAGGTGACCTGCAGTGTGTTTGGCGTATTTCTGCTTATGACTGTCTCCTCTGATTCTTTGCAGGGCAACCTCCAGATCCACCACGTGGGGCAGGACGGTCAGGTGAGTGCCCCGGGCCCCACTCACCTGTGGGTGTTGCGCTGCCGAGGGGTGGGGCTCTCACGGGAGGGGTGGGACGGTCAGGTGAATGCTTCAGTCCCCTGCCATACACCTGGCCTTTTCCTCACATGCAGGGCATTGTGCTGCCAGGGAGTGGGTCTCTCACGGGAGGGGTGAGGGTGTGAAGGCCCCTCAGTGTGAGCCCCTGAGCAGGACTGGCTTTTCTCACCGTGGCAACGCACGGGCCTGGAAGGGGGAGGGCGGGGTTAAAGGTTACATCTGCGGCTCTGTGGGTAGCTTTTGCTTTATGGTGGAGACATACCCGCCGCGTGCCGATGTTATTTTCTGCACACCCATGCGGATGTTGGTGGTGGTCGTATCTGCGCAGACAGCTCTGTTAGCAAAAGGTGGGTTTGCCGTCAAACCCTCAAACTCGGCTGCTTCCTAATCCTTGACACGCAGAGTGACCAGTCGGTGAATACCCGGTACAAATTGTCTTTCCGAAATGATGTGCCCCTTCGATGCAGGCCTGGGGAGAGCGTGGCTGTGCAGGACAGGCAGCTCGCGGTGGTGGAGGCTGTGTTGTTCCCAGTGCTCATGAGGACCCTTTCTAGTCAGAAGACGGCTGTCACTCTGGATTACTACTGAAGAGTCTGGTTGGTCTTCCCATTTCCTAAAACAAAAGCTGTGAAGTTGCCAGTGAGAACCATAAACAGCTGCCTGCGTAGCGAGATCGTGCTGTTTTTCAGAAGCACAGCGCCCGGTCCTTCCAGAAGCCCGTGTGCATGCCCTTTGCCACAGCCAGGCCCTGCGGACCTCTGACCTAACAGAGCCTGGGCACCGCAGGAGCGAGGCGCCTCCCAGATGACGGGGACAGAAGGGCACGTGCATCCCGTGGGCTTTGCCTTGACCCTCAGAGGCACCTTGGGAGGAGGGCTGCGGACCCTCCAGAAGCGGCTCCTGTCAGTTTCTCAGTTGGGAAGTTTGATCTTAAACATCAGCCTGAGGGTCTGTCTGCTCAGGTGGTCCTGTAGCTCAACCCACCTATAAATAGGAAATCGCTGCTTTGGAGGAGAGCCAAAGGAATGCAGTTTTTTGTTCTCTCTCTCCTTTTTTGAGACAGAGTCTCGCTCTGTCACCCAGGCTGGAGTGCACTGGTGCGACCTCAGCTCACTGCAGTCTCCACCCCGCAGGTTCAAGCGATTCTTCTGCCTCAGCCTCCCGAGTAGTTGGGGTTGGACGTACCCATTAACCACCACGCTCGGCTAATTTTTTGTATTTTGAGTAGAGATGAAGTTTCACCTTGTTGGCCAGGCTGGTATCACACTCCTGACCTCAGGTGATCTGCCTGCCTCAGCCTCCCAAAGTGCTGGGATTACAGGTGTGAGTGCGCCCCGTGCCCCGCCTTGGAATGCACTGTTTTAGATCCACAGCCGTGTGTCTTCCTCGCTCTGTCGGGGTGGCGAGGCTGTGTGGGCGCAGTGCGAGTCAGTTCTCGGCACCGCTCCGTCGGAGTGGCGAGGCTGTGTGGGCGCAGTGCGAGTCAGTGTGAGTCAGTTCTCTGTACCTCTCTGTCGGGGTGGCGAGGCTGTGTGGGTGCAGTGCGAGTCAGTTCTCTGCACCGCTCCGTCGGGGGGGCGAGGCTGTGTGGCGCAGTGCGAGTCAGTTCTCTGCACCGCTCCGTCGGGGTGGCGAGGCTGTGTGGGCGCAGTGTGAGTCAGTTCTCTGCACCGCTCCGTCGGGGTGGCGAGGCTGTGTGGGCGCAGTGCGAGTCAGTGCGAGTCAGTTCTCTGCACCGCTCCGTCGGGGGGGCGAGGCTGTGTGGGCGCAGTGCGAGTCAGTTCTCTGCACCGCTCCGTCGGGGTGGCGAGGCTGTGTGGGCGCAGTGCGAGTCAGTTCTCTGCACCGCTCCGTCGGGGTGGCGAGGCTGTGTGGGCGCAGTGTGAGTCAGTTCTCTGCACCGCTCCATCGGGGTGGCGAGGCTGTGTGGGCGCAGTGTGAGTCAGTTCTCTGCACCGCTCCGTCGGGGTGGCGAGGCTGTGTGGGTGCAGTGCGAGTCAGTGTGAGTCAGTTCTCTGTACCTCTCTGTCGGGGTGGCGAGGCTGTGTGGGCGCAGTGTGAGTCAGTTCTCTGCACCGCTCCATCGGGGTGGTGAGGCTGTGTGGGCGCAGTGCGAGTCAGTGTGAGTCAGTTCTCTGTACCTCTCTGTCGGGGTGGCGAGGCTGTGTGGGCGCAGTGCGAGTCAGTTCTCTGTGCCTCTCCATCGGGGGGGCGAGGCTGTGTGGGCGCAGTGTGAGTCAGTTCTCTGCACCGCTCCGTCGGGGTGGCGAGGCTGTGTGGTGCAGTGTGAGTCAGTTCTCTGCACCACTCCGTCGGGGTGTCGAGGCTGTGTGGGCGCAGTGCGAGTCAGTTCTCTGCACCGCTCCGTCAGGGTTGCGAGGCTGTGTGAGCGCAGTGCGAGTCAGTTCTCTGCACCGCTCCGTCGGGGTGGCGAGGCTGTGTGAGTCAGTTCTCTGTACCTCTCCGTCGGGGTGGCGAGGCTGTGTGGGCGCAGTGCGAGTCAGTGTGAGTCAGTTCTCTGTACCTCTCCGTCGGGGTGGCGAGGCTATGTGGGCGCAGTGCGAGTCAGTTCTCTGTACCGCTCCGTCGGGGTGGCGAGGCTGTGTGGGCGCAGTGCGAGTCAGTTCTCTGCACCGCTCCGTCGGGGTGGCGAGGCTGTGTGGGCGCAGTGCGAGTCAGTGTGAGTCAGTTCTCTGTACCTCTCTGTCGGGGTGGCGAGGCTGTGTGGCGCAGTGTGAGTCAGTTCTCTGCACCGCTCCGTCGGGGTGGCGAGGCTGTGTGGGCACAGTGTGAGTCAGTTCTCTGCACCGCTCCGTCGGGGTTCTCACGGTCAGCTGGGACAGCAGAGGGTGGGACTCCAGTCAGTCTGTCTCTTCGTTTTCTGCAAGACAGTGGTTTTTGGTTCTGCTGCTGGTGAAACCGTCTCATAGTTAAAGCACTGCGGGACTTGAGTTCCTAGGAAAAGTAAGGCGTGCCACTGTCCATGTTCCCTTTTCCTGTCTCTACTCCTGAACAAAATCCACTTGGAATTTTACAGGTAGACCCGGCTTTTATTCTAGATTGCTGCAGTGCTTCTGTTGATGATGCAGACAAAACTCTCCCAGCTGTGTTGTGAGGACAGAGATTCCAGCTTTTCTCAGCAGGCGTGGAGGCCCGTCAGCGCCGGCACAGGTCCGAGTTCAGGAAGGACTCTGAGGGCTGACGCTGGAGGAGCTGCTGTCTGAAATTCCTGAAGAACTGTTCTGGTGTCTCTGGTTCCTCCGTCACTGCTGCTGCCCCACACACCTTCTCACTGGGAGCAGGGTCGTGACTGCTGCTCATTCCTGCGTCTTCAGTGGCCCCTCCAAGTCCCCACTCTCTAAGTGGCCTCCCTGCAGAATGAAGCTGCTGTACTGACTGCTGTTTATGTTAAATGAATAATAATTTATAAATCGCTTGTTTTTGTTTTTATCCCCCCATGAACTCTCATGTTCTTCTCACCTCCTGATTGCTATTACTGGTCATGTTTGTGGGACCTTAAATCAAAGACGGCTTCAGGAGAGGCCAGTGGGGGGAATCTCATACCTGGCTGCTGCTTCTCTTGTGAAGGAAACTGCTGTGTGACTTAAATAAACAGCCGTGTTCGTCTGAAGCTGCCTTTTCTGGTAAAGCTGTGTAGCGATCCCCTCGCCTTCTGTTTGTGGAAATTCTTTGTTTTTTGTCATTTGGCCAGTTCTCATCCCCACCGTGCTACACCCTGCGCGTGCAGGCTTCGTCCTCCAGGCTGGCCGCACATTTGGGAAACAGAAGGATGTTTCAAAAGGCCCGGAGAATTGCGCTCACCTCCATGTTGCTGACTAGGCTGAGAAGCCCCGAGCTGTGAGCGGGGGGGTCACATGGCCCATTTGCTCTCCTCCCCGCCCCCTGCCCACAGGAGGATACTGCGCGTGGGTCTAGGGCTCTCACTTCTCCAGCCAGACTTGACCTCAGAAGTGTCCTTCATGTAACGCTGCAGATGGCTCAGCTCTCCGCCCCATCCCAGTACCCTTGGCTTGCCCTGGTTGAGCGCTGGCTTGATTGACAGGGAGACCCTGTAGCCTGCACTCACTCCGGGTGGATGGGGAAGGCAAGGAACAGCACTCAGCCCGGCGCAGAGAACACAAAGAAGTGGGCCCGGCTGCTGTCAGTTTCCAGATCACTGACTTAGGATTAGCTCAGTATTCACTTCTAAGCCGTAGTTTCAGCAGTCATTTAAGAATGGTTATGTGCCAGCGGACTCAGAATCGGACAGAGCAGCTAGAAATCTCCTCAGGGCAGGTGGCCAGGAGACCTGGCCTTCCCTCTTCTGGCCATCTGTTTTAAGTCCTGGGCTGGGGCCTGCACCCTGCGTCCCGCCCCCTTTCCTTGTGCTGGGCTCACACTTGTTGGCTTTCCTCCTATTCTGCTTCTGAGATGATCGTTGCTATTACTTGTTGTAGTTAATTATTTTCCGAGTCAGTGGACAGCTTCTGTGAAGATAGCCTTCCTTCTTTGCTCCTTGGAGGGACAGTGTGCACTGTGCTTGTGGACTGCCGCTGGGCGGTGGGTTTGAGGCCGCGTCTGCAGCCGGCAGCAGCGTCAGTTCCAGGAGGGACCCTGGTGGCTGCGGTGCCCTGCTGCTGGGCTGGGAAGTGCCATCATGCTGCATTGGTGTGACCCTGCGGCACCAGCTGCCAGGGACCATCTTTGTGGATTGAGTTTTCTTTGAATTAAATATTGAGAGATTGTAGTCACACCCCACAGTTGCCATTTGCTGTCTGAGTGGAAAATAGGAAGCCCTGCATTGTTCGTGGCCGTGTGGCCAGTGTCATGTCCACAGCGGCTTTGCTTTTCTTCCCTGCTGTGAGATGGACTGCCCTGCCTACGCTCTTTCTGCCGTGACGTCTCTGTCCGCTCTGATACTGAGGGTGCAGGAGGGCTGTCTC